GCCTGGAGTTGTCCCAACGACAGGAGTGGGCACGATGCCCCCTTGTCTATGAAGGCGCGCTTGGGCCAAAATGTCTGATTTAGAAGGTTCACACGCTAGAAGTAACCACTCAGGACCCCCACCACCCCTCCTCCCGCGGGGTCGGGTTTTCGTCGCTTGGCACCGATGTTGTAAAACAAGCCGATCACTTCGTGAACTCGGCAACCAGGTTACCGCTTCTTTTTTTTTTTTGCCTCTGCTTTTTTTTGGTCTTGCGGTAACCTTAATGGTGGTCGAGTAGATCATGTTGTGCGGGGTCGAGAGCCCTCACTCCGCGCAAAGGGGATGATCGCACCACGATGTGTTCAATTGGTCGAGCACCCTCGAGGCAGTTACACAGTACTCACAACTGTCTCTGGAAGTGAAAGCACCAGAAATTAAATTAAGTCATAGGCAGCTGTCATCCGTACTCAAGGAAGTAAGCACAAGATGCGGAACACCCTTAGCAGGATGCAGCACACCCTTCATGCGACTCGTCGAATACCTCACGGCGCTTCGCGCTTGGTGGAAGTGAGAGCCTGGTTTGGTGAGAACCCGGCATGCTCCGTCCCGGCTGATGGTCTAATGACTACGGCATGCACACGACTACGGGTACCCCCCCCCCCTCCTCCGATGCTGATTTGACTGTTGAAAAAATCTTGTGCGCGTTCTAGGGTTCATCTTTCGGAAGCCTCGGCGGCAAGCGGGGGTGGTTGGACGGGAGGGGGCTGGGCGGCAGCGTGCCGAAAACCCCGGCGGACGGCATGCGCTACATGCGCCGGTGCCCCTGTCAGAGCTGCGACAACGGCTGGAGGGCATATGGACTTCGGCGAGCAGCAACAACCGTCTTGCCGAGGTAAGATGACGAAAATCGACGGCCACCTGCCACGATGTGCGTTGGAGGGTACGAAAGCAATCTGAGTGTCGGGTAAGGGTATGGGATGTCTGTCTCTGTGTTTCACCTCTTCCGCTTCCTCCACGGCGTGATTGTTGGGGCGTGGCATCGCACAGCCTGGGCGCAGGGTATGGTTGCTTTTTGTTGCTCCATGTAGAGTTTTTTTTTTTTGTGTATGTTGGGGTGTGGGTGACCAGTACAGCAGTACAACAACCGTGTGAAAGCGTGAACTCGACCCCCCCCCGTCATTGTGACCCACACATACGTCTTGAAACTGTATGGGCTTGGGCTAGTCGGTCATTACTACGGTCACTTGCACGGCAGCGAGCTGCCCCCCCCCCC